TGGCTACAATTTTAAAAAAAGTCAATTCAACGTATCATCTTTTTTATTTCAATCTTAGATAATTTTATTCCTTTCCTTCTACTCGATCACTTTCATTTGCAATTCGTTCCGCATCATTTTTTTTTACTTGGCGAATATACAATTTATCCCTGCATTCACAATATTATGCCCTTTTTTTTTTTTTTACATCGGGTCATCTAATTGTCCCTGTCTTATTTGCTGAATTCTTAGGTTACTCTTTTTTCATGCGTATCGTTTTGTTTTTCTCGAAACAGATGTTGATTTGGTACAGACGAATACTTTCATCGCCTACGGTAAACCTTAATTGCAAAAATCTGATGCGCATTAAATACAACCCTGTCCGTAGTTGGTCATCACTATATCTTACTGGTCGAAATGCGCCATGTCATCGCTCATTACCAATTGAAAATCTCACGAAATAATTTTCAATAGTACAGTCAGTGCCGGGCCAATGTTCTCGTGCACCCTCAATCAATGACTGCCACCAAATGTCTGATACCCCCATGAATCTATGATACCCTTCCGAATCTATGATACGTCCACCAACTCTACTATATTTCAATTTTGAAAGGTAGTATTCAAATAAAATACAAATTTTATTGTAAACTAATTATGCACAAGTATGATCATATGCAATACGAGTGAATAATTCAACTAGAAAAATTGAAAAGAAATATAATTTATCTAAATACAAATTAGAACCATATCATAATAGATCCATTATGTTTTTTTGGCAATTTTTAGCATCAACTTGAGATTTTTCTTGTTAAAAGTTGGATAATTTTTAACACATTCAACATTATTGTTGTAACCTAGCAAGGGTTACTGAATAAAGAATAAAAAAAAACGGAGGTTGGAAATGAAATGGTAATCTTTATAACATCAACAAAATACAATACTCTCCAGCGGCGTGAACTAAATAAACCACTGCTAGTGGTGGACGACTTATTACAGCCCAGTTATAATTGTGTTCAACGTATTTATGAGGACTGGTACATACCCATTAGTGTTCATAGGTACGGTATATGATAGATAGATAGATATGAATGTAATAACACACACACACACACACACAGACACACACACACACACACACACACACACACACACACACACACACACACACAGACACACACAGACACTATGAAGCTAAAGAGCCAAGCAAACCTACCTAGCTTTCGGCTACACGAATCGTCAGGATCTCTCTCTCTCTCTCTCTCTCTCTCTCTCTATATATATATATATATATATATATATATATATATATATATATATATATATATATATGATGAAAAATACATACCCATTAGTGTTCATAGGTAAGGTATATGATAAATAGGTAGATATGTAGTAACACACACACACACACGCACACACACACACACACACACACACACACACACACACTCACACAGAGACACACACAGACACTATGAAGCTAAAGAGCCAAGCAAACCTACCTAGCTTTCGCCTACACGAATCGTCAGGATCTCTCTCTCTCTCTCTCTCTCTCTCTATCTATATATATATATATATATATATATATATATATATATATATATATATAGATGAAAAAATACATACCCATTAGTGTTCATAGGTAAGGTATATGATAAATAGGTAGATATGTAGTAACACACACACACACACACACACACACACACACACACACACACACACACACACACACACACACACACACACACTCACACAGAGACACACACAGACACTATGAAGCTAAAGAGCCAAGCAAACCTACCTAGCTTTCGCCTACACGAATCGTCAGGATCTCTCTCTCTCTCTCTCTCTCTCTCTCTCTATATATATATATATATATATATATATGAAAAAATACATACCCATTAGTGTTCATAGGTAAGGTATATGATAAATAGGTAGATATGTAGTAACACACACACACACACACACACACACACACACACACACACACACACACACACACATATATATATATATATATATGTATATATAGATGAACAAATGCAAAGAGATGAGCAGATAGATAGTGTTGTAACCTATAAAAAGGTTACTGAATGAGGAATAACCAAGATGATGGTTGGAAATGAAATGGTAATGCTTTATAACATCAACAAAGTACAATACTCGCCAGCGGCGTGATGTAGGTAAACCACTGCTAGTGGTGGACTACTACGACAGCATATTATCCCCACATACAATAGTCCCCTACATATTTATGAGGATTGGGACAAACCCATTTGTACGGTATATAACAGTTATGGATAAAAAAAACAATTTTATATAGTGTGTTTTCGAGACATGATATGAGCAAAACAAATTCACGGATTTGGTAAAAAAAAATTATATCCCAGAACGAAGTCAGAATCAACGAATATTTTTCATCCTTTAATAGTCAGTTGTGCTTAGTTTAAATTTAACGTATACAAATGTAGACAGAAAAAAAAGAACAAAAAACAAATGTTGATATATATATATATATACAGACACGTGTATTGTATGCGCGTTACTTAGTGAAAAGTTCTCAATATCCGTGATAAAGATAACATATTCAGTTGCATGGCTATAAAAAGCTTGTTACAAACTACTATCCATGCAATTACCTATAACTAGAATTGAAACCCGACTGAATTGGTGGCAGGTGGAAATTCTACCACTAAGCCATCGGCGCACAGCAAGGCCGAAGGTGAATTTTAGCGTATTTATTTTTAGATAAACACACAATAACTCAGAGGACTCGATTCGCTTCAGTGAAGTCTTGCGATATATATATATACACACACACAGAGAGAGAGAGAGAGAGAGAGAGAGAGAGGCAGAGAGAGGCAGAGAGGCTCCATCGCCTGTTGAGCTGATACCAAACTAACCATGTTAATACCAAAGATGCATCTTGTTAAATATATCACTGCTAGACAAGTGGGGGTCGTCTTTTTTGTTTCTGTTTTGATGTTGTTTTATGCAAGATAAAAGCAGTCTTTTAGAAACCACACGTCCAAGCAGAAAATCGCTACCAAGATGAACAGAAGCCATTTCGCTATTTTTTTTTCATTTTCTCCTCCTTATCGACAGGAATTGGTTCAAAGAGATTCTTATTGAAAACCTATTAAAATGGAGTGATTGCCTGCTCTGAGAAATCCGGCGGAAGCCTGTTACAGCATTCGTGGCAACATCAAAGTATCGATGAAAAATGTAGACGTTTTGCTTTCGCATTGAGGATAGAAGCAAATATACGTTTTGCCACTGAGTCAATAGAAATCTCAAATTTGCACATAGGAAGTCCAGTCGTCGAGGTCCAATTTGAACTTGTGTATTATGGCTTGCGGAGTTTCTTTATTATATATATATATATATATATATATATATATATATATATATATATATATATATATATATACAAAACAAATCGATAAACTATTGATTAAAAAGTCTTCTGCGTTTGCATCAGTTATATGTCTGGGGTTCAAGTATATATATCATCCCCACCCTATCTCCTTCTCTCTATTTTTCTCTCTTTCTCTCTCTCTCTCTCACACACACACACACACACACACACACACACACACACACACACACACATATATATATATATATATATATATATATATATATATATATTTATATTTATATATATATATTTGGTTTGGTTTGTTTTACGGCATATAAACCACAATGGGTTATTTAATACAGACGAGATTTTTATTTTCCAAAACAAGTACTGCTGCCAAATCAAGTTTCATTAACACTTTTGCTATCCAGGACACTTTAATTATTGCATTGATTGATTTGGTTTGGTTTGGTTTGGTTTGGTTTGGTTTGGTTTGGTTTGGTTTGTTTAACGACATATCAACTACAATGGGTTATTTAATGCTGCCAAGATTTTTCCAATAATAATAATAATTTTTTACAAAAATGTATTGCTGGTATTAAAACATATTTTTGCACTATCATGATGTTTTGATCCCAGTTTAGGAGTTAAATATTTGCCCATTTGCTGGGATCCTAACAAGTGCTCGCACCCCGAGCAAGGGTGGGCCTGGGAACACCAGCAATTAAGATGTGGTTTAACGCTCCTGAAAACCTCCTGAGCAGAAGACTTGCTGTGGGATGTAGTTTATCATCTTACCCAGGACGAACACACACAGATATATATATATGAAATTAAATAAGTACTCATCTTATTCTAACTTGGTCCTACTTGCCTCTTGATTGTAAAATATATTTTCAGAATGAATTCACTTTTACACACAAGTCCCCAGAAAAGTGGTCGTAATATTTTTTTAAGCGTTTCACCCCAGGCAAGCCACTAGCACGCAAGGGGTTACAGAGAGCAAATAGGAGTGATAGGGGAAAGGATGAAGAGACGGTTAGGGGATAGATCAGGGCATCTGAAGACGTCGATTGACATTACATTTGAATAGTCATCAGTGTAGCTAGACATGCGATTGCCTCAAGCCAGGATCGAAACCCAACCGATTTGGCATCAGTTGTAGATTTTTCCCCGGCAGAGAGGAAGGTGAAATTTTTTTTACGTATTTATGAATGAACATTTAATTTTGTTTGGGCGTCAATCTGAGGACAGTACAGAGGATTCGCAAGGAGTTGGATGAGTCTAATGGGATTATGAAGGTGACTGGAGAGATCACAAATGATGGAGATGTTATGCTTCCATTCATCTTCCCACAGGGCCTCAGACTCAACGCAGTCTTGATCAAGTGCCTTGAGGAGGTAATTGTTATACAGGAACGTACCTATTTCTATTGTAAATAGACTCTCCCACAGATAATAAGTAGTAGTAGTAATAGCAGTCGCCAGTAAAGCTCAGTGAGTTGTGTGAGTCAGTCGATATCGGACATTAAGGTATGAACCACTACAACTAGATTGCTGCGTCATTAACTATTATTTTCAAGTTCTTAACATTTTGTACGTCGAACCTAATTTAGGACCGACTTAGTGAAATACAAGCCCCCTCTGTGAAAACTACTCTACAACAGTAATGCTGACAGACATAGATAGATAGATAGACAGACAGACAGAAATAGATAGATAGATAGACAGACAGACAGACAGACTGACATAGATAGACAGACTGACATAGATAGATATATAGTTAGAAACAGAAAAAAAGAAAGAAAGAAAGAAAGAAAGAAGAAAGGACAGCGAAAGAGATCTAGAGTCAGGTCGATGAATTTGATATAAAATGTCTTACTTGGATGTTGACGCCAAGTTCCGGCACAAGAGGCTTGCCATCTTTGAGCCATCGGACTGCAATTGGTAATTCTCCGCTGCTGATGACGCAGATGACAGTCACTCGTTGTCCCTCTCGTGTACGCTTTTGGAAACTGAAAGGGGTGATTGTCGGTGGCTCTGCGAAAACCAAAACGAAAGACGTTCTTTAATGAATCTATAGAGCTAGATTGATGAAGACATTGAACTCTGTAAAAAATGATCGAAAATATCCCTCAATGTCTAGGATAGTGTAGAAACTGTATGTACGTTAGCCCTGCAGATTCCCTGTTGAGTATAGGGTAACTTTCTTTTATATTAATGTTTACCCAATACAAGGCTCAAGGGACACTCAAGGGAGAGGTTTTTTGTGTGCCGTTGGATGAGCATAAGAAAAAGCAAGAAGTGAAGCTCATGGGTTTATGTAGGAAATATAACTGATAACCCTAGACTTGAAGAGGTCAAGATTATATCAGTTATGTGCCATGCGTGATACACGCTTAGGCGATCATGTATCTTTCGATACATGACTGACGAGGCAGATGTTTTCCCGTAGTAGGTTGCCATTTCTTTCTGCGGTAAACCAGTTGCCATCCAAGGCTATAGAACCTGGTCTGTCCTGCTATTTACCCATAGCTGAGGGGAGAAGAAGAGGATCCATACCTTTCCCAAGGGTATTAGCCTATAAGTGAATGTAATGGATTCGTCTAAGATTATAGTGATTGGGAAAACGGTAATCTGTTCCACAAAGTAACAGTTCTTGGGAAGAAGCTGTTTGAATGGAACTTCTTACTCTTGGAATACGAAGGGAATCGGGAGAATTCGCCCTTGTGGATGTGGCATGGCGGGTAACACTTGTAAAGGTTAATGGTGGTGCCAGCAAAGAATTAACTTTTTAGAATCTATGCAATTGAAATATTGATAGAGCAGTGAGAAGTCCATGACTTTTCGTTTGTGGAGAAAACGGATTTCGGGTGGAAAATATGTAATGGCTTTTGAACTGAGGATTTGGCAGCTCCAGCCCAGATAACGCGGGAATATTTTTAATTTTAATGATTTTTAATTTAAAAAAAATGAAAATATAATTTCTTTATTATTATACTGATATTCACCCGATACATACCCAAGAGCCACTCAAGATAGAGGGATACTATCTGGTTAGCAAGAAAAGGCAAGAAATGAAGTCCATGGATTATGCAGGAAAGGTAACAGTTAACCATCAAGATAACGGTGAATAAGTTTTTAAAAGAAGGAAAACTGGAGAGGAAAACTGGCTCAGGAGTTCACAACAGGAAGAGTGATCATCTTTTCAATTTAGAGCTAAAGAGATCAATTAGAAAAGATCCAACTCAATCCATAAGACGTTTGGCACGTGGAAGAGTTTCACCTATGATAGACCAAAGAGCCGTGAAAAAGACTCGAAAACGAAATCGTACGTGAAAACTGTGAGGTACTTTGTTACTCCATGATAATAGAAATTTAGAAGTTTAGAGAAGGGGAAGATCATCTTGAATAAGTTTGAAAATGATCCTGGAATATATATATATATATATATATATATATATATAAACTTTATTTCAATCCTTCATGAGTTTCTAATCCTTAGCTATGATTAATTAATGATGAACATGTCATTTTCATTTATGATCAATTTCATCATAATTCTTCTGGTTAACTTAGAGAGTAATTATACATTCTTATTGCTCAAAGTAGAGTCCAATAATGTTATAACAACCTTGGAGAATTCCAGTCAGATATCTTTAATCATTTCTAAGATACAATGTTGCAGAGATAAATCTAACAATTGGACAATTTTAATGTTACACGATTTGAACAATAAAGATAAACAGTCCACTTTAAGGCTCCATTTGTAATAATTTATTTCATCAGAGAATTTTATTTTTTCTCTGGATCTTCAGACTTCACTTTCAAAAGGTGAAACGAAAAATGAGTTTAAAATTTACACTTTTGACGGGCAGTATTAAGCTTATATAAGTTGACATAAAAGGTGGTGAGGAATAGTGTGAGAGATATGGTTGAGTTTAGAGAGAGAAGGAAGAGTTTTAAAGTTTATTTTTATATTTCTTTTTATTATAATACTTAATATTGAGGAAGGAGGGGGGTAAGGATCAGACATTGACCTATTTAATCGGTCAACTCATCGGAAATGATATGTGGAAAGAAAAAAGAGAAAAAAGGGAAAAAAGAAAAAAGGGGGTGTAGAGAGATAAGAGATGTACGTAGGGTTTTTGGAGGAAGAAGAGGGGTGGTATAGCTTCAGTAATTTAGATAAAAACAGATTTTAACGTTTGATAGTAATTTAAATGTTTAAAAATTCCACAAAGGAATTAAATTTAATCCTTGTTAGCAATTTAAATATTCAACTCCTCCACACACATACACACATACACACAGACACGTATATATATATATATATATATATATATATATATATATATATATATATATATATATATATATTTGTGTGTGTGTGTGTGTGTGAAAGAGTTTAAACACTGACACCCCAATGCTCATAAATCTGTAAGTCTGTTAAAAGAACACAGACGGAAGAAAACTATCAAAACTGATAACTATATTAACTTGTACTTACCCACGATTCTCACGATGACGTTTCGACTCATACCTTCCCCTTTGTCATTCGCAGCTGTGCATGTGTAGTCGCCATCGTCATGATATTTCTGGACATTATCAACAGTGAGGGTTCCGTTTTCCACTCTCTGGCGATGGTTTATGGGAAGAGCCTGTGTCGCTGCAAGGAGAAAGTACAAAGTCATGCTTTAAAAAATTTGTCTGCGAGGGAGTGATGTTCCCCATCCACTCTTTGGTCTCCATACACACTCACCAAGCCTCAGTGTCTATCTATCTAAATCATTCTTTTAAAATTTACACTCCTCTTTAGAAAAGGCACAGATTGACAAAGAAACAAAACGTTTGATATTTTGAGATAAAGTATTTTCATCATTACACGTTGATGCCGGTATGATGTTTTTCTAGATGTAACATTTTTATAATATGAAAATAATTGTGTCAATATTTTACACTTTAAATTTTTCTCAGAATTAACCTGGAGAAAAATACAATATTTATTATTGAAAAAGACAAAAGAAAACTGTATTTTTTGCCGACGCGTTTCGTCCGATGTGGATATTTCCAAGGCAAAAAACGAAATGAATTTATTAAAACAAAGTATCTATAAATAACAAACAAAATGTCGTTAGCAACTGGAAGAATTTAGAAACGCTTGGTTAACTGAAGAATTACGTCAGTTGCTTTATGTCTGAAGAGAATATTTTTTAAACAGAATATTTTCACGTGTAGAAATAATGTTTGTATTGTGTTGACGGATTCAACCGTTTTCTTTTGAGTTGTTGTGTACGTTGGCTTGGGAGGGTAGTGATTCTGTTAGAAAAGGTTATATTGGGAAAAAAAAACTTTGGCGTAGTTTTCTATAATATTCAATGGCGGCACTCTCGAGAATTTTCCTTCTGAGTGAATTATTTTCTTTATTTATGAGTGTAGCATTTATAAAATCAAAATTTCAGTTGAATTTATTTCTAATTATGACTGGTGCTCATAGATGCTTTTTTTTAAATTTTTGTGCTCATAGATGCTTTTTTAAAATATTTGTGCTCATAGATGTTTCTACAAGGTATTGTGAGAAACAGTTTTGCCAACTTATTTTATATATGCCTGCTTCAGAAATATTTTTGCTATGGGTGTTTGAGGATTTGATTATATCCATAATGGTTTTGGATGTATTTGTGATTATTTTGAGATTATTTAGATGGGATATATTATTCTGGATAGTGGATATGACAGAGATGATCGGTAGTATGATGCAATTTATTTTCATGTAAATTATTATTACGGATGATTTTGTTATTTTTGTTGCGGTGTTTTAATAAATTCATTTTGTTTTTTGCCTTGAAAAAGTCCACATTGGACGAAACGCGTCGGCTAAAACAACAGTTTTCCTATTATTTTTTTTCCCTTAATACAGTTTATTGTTAAATTTTACCCACCGTCTTAATTCTTTATATTGTTTGAAAGAAATTATCCATGTATTTTTTTCATCGTTAATTGTTGGAATTTGATCTTTAATAAATGGAAACAAAAACGATACTTCTACTTAGCATCAGGAAGAGACAATTGAAATATGTATAATTGCGAAAGAGGGTTTGGAACATTTGATACACACAGGATAAATTAAAAGAAAAAAGGACAAAGGCAAACAGCGCATTATCTACTTAGTGAGTTTGAATAAATGGATGACGTAACAAGAAGAAATATCAAAATTTATTAAGAGCTACAAAATGGCAGGGACTGTCTCTATTTCTGAGATCAGGTATCATAATTATTTACAATATTTATATTGTTCGGACTGTTGTCCTCATCTTTATTGTCATATTAAAGATGTTTCGGCAGTTGTATGCTCCGGTCTTCTTCAGAATCTGTCTATATTTCTGAGATGAGGAATTTTAATTATTTACATTATTTACATTGTTCGGACTGTTGTCCTCATCTTTATTGTCCTATTAACTATGTTTCGGCCGTTGTACGCCCCGGCCTTCTTCAGGTGATTGGAAGTGAATTTATTCACCTCAGGACACATGGCCCAGTGGATAAAGCGTTGGTGGGATACAGTGACTTGACCCAAAGATTTTTTATTTCAATTACTGACTACTGCAGTGGTAAAAAAAAAAAAGCAAAAACAAACAAACATGGAGAGTTCAGTTAAAGGGAGATAAACTGAGACATCCGGAAGAGGCATGTCACGTGGAACTAGAACAATCCTCCCCGGTGGACGAAATAAAGAGTTCAGCTGAAATTCCAATCACCTGAAGAACGCCGGAGCGTACAACGGCCGAAACGTCGTGAATATGTTAATAAAGATGAGGACAACAGTCCGAATAATAGAAAATTGTGGAGAGCCATGATCGCTAACGTGGGACACGGTACATAGATTGAAGATGTTGGTATTTGGAGCCAAGAAATAAATTTAAGCCAGACGTCAACTCGCATCGAGTAACTTGGGAGCTCGACATTTAAGCAGTGGTGTCCTTTGCTTGAAGAGATTATAGAATACATGTAAGAATGCCAACTGGCTGATCAATGAATTCTTTTAGTTAGAAATATAAGATGCCATTGAATGACGCTATCAGATTGCCTATGTTGATATTCTGAAGCGAAAAAATTGTTGAAAATATATTTAATGATTAAAATTTCTCTATTTTTATTGTAACTATGGAGTCAATTGGTGAGTTTCGTAGAACTCGTGAGTGTTGCGACGTAGGCAAGGAGTATCGTGACGCAAGAGATGTGTGATGTCTAGATTTATTGTATATAAAATACAATTGTGGTACAAGGCCGAAAATGGGGTGAGGGAGAAACGGGCTGAAGCTGGTCATCACTTACTATCTTATGCCTAGCTAATTAGATTCACGGCCCATTTTATGAATAGATGTGTAATGTCTTTTTTATATACAGGGTGGTCAGAAATCTTGTCACCCACTGCATAATGTTCTATTTCAGATGGCTGACAGGAAAATGCTAGTGTTCATAAAGACCTTTGTCAATATGTGACAGCGTCAATGAAATTGAATAAACTGAATCCAGTACATGTGCTTTGTATTATTGTATTACTGGCTGTTCTAATTTTTTTTGTGTGACAAGACTTTTGGACCACCCTGTATATTTTCCTAGCAACAACCTTAGTTGTTGGTTGATGTATTAATACGGGTTTTCAACCAAGGCTTGATTTTTGGATTTTCTTTGTTCATTATTTTCGGTATCTATACTGAGGACACAACCATTTACCACTGTCTTAACAGAAAGTCTGATAGGTGCGATAAGGTCAAACAAAGAAAATGAAGCCGCATCATTTCATTTATGTTAATAAAAGTGAATAAACTGAATCAAGTACATGTGCTTTGTATTACTGTATCTTGTTCTTCTATTGTTCTCATTACCTTTTAGTATGAAGTGACAAGACTTTCGGATTACCCTGTAGTTTATCCGCCTGAGAGCAGATACTACACTTTGATCCCAACCACAACGCCGAGAAGTGAGTGTATTTTCATATGACACAAGGTCGGTTTAATGTAGGGAGCCATGCACGCGGACCAGGTCCAAAAATAGCCCTGCCCATCAACTCCGCAGGTGATTCCCGGGATCGGGCACCTATCAATAATATATTTAGTTGTACCAAGTTCGCAGCCATAGACACAACTGAGAGTTGAAATGTAAATATCAATTTTAAGAAGGTAGGGCGTATGGCTGTCAACAAATGAAACAGCCCAAAAAGCGAATTACAAATTGGAGATACCAAAATTAAACAAATGTCAAAATTTGAATATCTGGGAAGTGGGTGGAAAATGCGGCATCAAAATTCGAAGGGGTTTGGGATAGCGAAAGATGCTTTTAAAAGCTAAGCAAAGTATCAAGGAGGAGGTGACAAGACTTTCGGACCAGTCAGTGTATTGGCTAATGCCGGCTCTTTAGTTATAATTGTTTTTAATTTTTTGAAGGTCGTTTTTGTTGGATGTGTATTGCTACAAAAACAACTATCATTAAATTAAAAAAAAACTATCATTCTCTCTCTCTCTCTCTCTATATATATATATATATATATATATATATATATATATATATATCCAGCGTAAAATATATATGGTTGTTTCGTGTCATGGTAGAGGGCTTGCGTTTCCAAGCGATCCGAAGAACAAATCCTGTAGGGCTACTCAAGGTGGTAAGGTCAAGGTGGTGGGACAAGACTGAACGCGAGTAACCCCCGAAGACTTCAACTGCGGATCACGCAAAGATCATCGGACAAACTGGCGGAAGTAGCAAACCAAGGCGGACCTGTGCAGCCAGGTTTACCTGTCTCATTTCCCTCTGAGTCGTGAGGGAGGGGCTTTTAGCCAAGTGCGTGGGTTCACCGTCGTGCAGAGTTCTCCACCAAGATCAAATTTACGGGAATGACCTAATCAGACTCTCTATGATTCACAGCCATCTCCGCCACTACCAGCAGAGGTGAGGGAGAAATGAAATAGGGAGAGAGGATGACGATCCCGATGCTCAGATGTGAGTGGGTGCTGACAGAGTATTGCTTCAAGGATCATACATCTATATTTACTATTTGATTTTGCTAGTATTTTGGTATTGTTCTTGAGTCACAATTATCTCTACGATGACTTAGGAAAGTCGAAAGTTTGGACCATTTTCTTTCTTGTCTGAGAAGGATTATTCATAATTTGGAAAAGTCGATCATTAAAATCAATCGATACAAAATGTCTACCGTTTTAACAATATTTTTTCCTCCCCAGTCGGAATTTATTAGAAAATATATTTATTTTCTAGTAAATTCTGTGTAACAAATTCGAGTCGGATCTAATCGGAAAGGCATGAATCTGACTAAGCAAGACAGCCTGGGTTGGGGGTAACCGGCCTAGGAGAAGGAAACTTCAATTCAAAGCCAACCTGGAGAGGATTGGCCTCTGTCAGGCTATCTTGCCCCAAAAACACAGAGTTCTACTGCAGCTGAGGTGCATGGGGCCACTACGACCCTCCTAGGTCACGGGATCCGCTAGCGATCGATCGATATTTATATTAAATAGAGAAATCATACGAGTAGACTTCACAGGGTAATAAACATTTCCTGTTATCCTGTCGATTTCAGTTTCATTCAAATATTGTGATGTGTGCCTTTGTGTAAACTCATGTATATTTTAACTCAGTGACAACATTAAA